ATTGAGTATTATCAATGTATTGTCTATAAACAGGGGGGGGGTGTGGAAAGCTTTAGAATCATGAACAAGGATTACCAATCGTTTTAGTTTTGCTTAATCTATCAACAATAGATTAGCGCAATTTTAAATGCAAACAGGTATGTACGCGTATCGCATATTTCATCTATTTTTTTTTTGTTTATTATTTGTATTATGGAAACATCTTTTGTTCTTTTGCGATCATAAACTAATAGGACCATATTAATATGGAATTATAGCTACAATATTTTGTCTTATCATTGGTTGATGCTATCATTGCAAACCACAGTAACACATAGACAAAGAATCCTGATACCTGTTTACTTGCATATTAGGAAGGGGGGATATGTTCTGAGAATGGCAATTTGAATAGAATATTATATTAATTGTGTACAAACAGATGTTTCAAGCTATTTTTGAACATTTGTCAGAAGGGGCATATACCAAATATCGATCCATTCTTCGAATTCTTCTGTCATGGGAACGTATTGTACGATAGAATTATAAATCCCCTTTGTTTGATGCTAATTAATTAAAATCTACCAGGGACATAAACAGGTTTACGCGATCTTTTTTTCGAATTTTTCTTCTGTTATGAACTTGGTTGATGTTGTTTGGGTCAAAATTGATGTAAATGCTTATCGATCTATCCTTTTTGTTTATGGGAATATTAATATTGTTCTAAAATTAATACAAACATTAGTATCATTTTCATTATCAACAACAAATACGTAAGGTTTAGCCAATGTTTTTTATTAGATGGCGCATCTTTACAATTAAAAATCAGGTTGAATGGTAAGTAGAAGCACAAAGAAAAAGACAAAGAGTTCTTGAACCTGTTTACGTACGGTATTAATGAAATTCCGAACACAGAACAAAATTAGATTTTGAATTCAGAACGTTTTTTTCTAATGGACAGAATATACTAATGCACGAGTATATGTCTGATGTGCATACGATGTATCAAGCTGTCTATGTACACATTTTGCGGATTGCGTTATAATTATGTTTTATTATTGGTAAATATTTTGTCTCTGTAGGCGTATAGTCGTAATTAGGTACCGTATTCTTGCGTATCGCCGGAAGCCACTTCCGAAATTAAACTTAATAGCTTCCCCGTAAAACAGGGACCCAGTCAATTGTTAGATTATCGTTCAGTTCATGTTTATGAATGGCAAGATAAGATTTGTGTCAATTATCAATAAGGCAAGAAGTAACAACCCGAGTCGATAAATGAAACTAAATCTATAATTGTAATAGTTTTACTTGCTACTATTAATAATTTTTTTATAATTGTTGAGAGCATTCCAAAGACCTTTTCCATCTGCACAACCATCTTTTAACCATGAAAAGTTAGTCGGAATATTTTGTATAACAATGACAAAAGTTTATATAATCAAGGAGAAAGCAAACAAAGTCCGTTGACTAGATCCATATGAATAACAAAAGTAAATATCTTCTTTTATTACATCTTCCTTGGTATTGATGATTAAATTTTAATAAATTCTCAATTCCTATCTAAGCAGAGGCCTTATATGGAAAAATACGAAAAATTATGGAAACGAATGGTTCATCATAGGTATATTCAATTCTACTTTAAAGTCGTCGAGAAAACTCATTACTCACTCTTCTCTTTTGGATAGATACAAATAAGATTCTTAAGATCTATCCAACGGCCCATATACTCTATAGTCGACGAATTACGTATAACTAATGACTCAAAATACGACGACTTCTGCGTCTATGGCAATTAAACTCGATCGATGTGGGATGAACGAGTGTTTCAAAACATACCAATAAAAGTTTAACCAATCGCCCTATTACCCAATCGTAACTTGTATGTCGGTAAACATTGTGACCTAACATTGTTATGTATATTAAGACTAAATAGTGCGTACCAAAGATTGTATTCGAGTATCGGATTTTATCTCGTGTCGACTATGGCATTTTGCAAAGAGCCAATATTTATTAGTTGAAACTGCTTCTCTCACATCTTGTCTACTGTTATTACAGAAAAGGTTGGGCGGGCGTAAGGGAGATGTATCTGGGTTCTCAGAAAAGATAGGTTTCAAAATTTAGGTTGGTAGAAATCCGTGATAATAATAAAGACAAGTCATCCACCCACCGGTGTCCTCCGATGGAAAACGCTTTTCGTTATCATGTATATTGTACCGAGTATGAATTTGGTTAGAAGGCCGAAAGGGCTGATTTTCCATTCAAAATTGCACGCAATATTCGAATACAGTCATACAATAATACTAAAAAGAGTTGATCTACAAGAATTGACTGTTGTTTGTCGTTTATGACTAATGAACAAACTCTATTACAATTATTGTTGTGGCGATCATGACATTCGTGACATGGAAATTAGGGGCTGGAAATACAAATGTCACCATGTCGCTATTGAGAATTCCGTTTTTGCTGCTGCTCGAAAAATTCTAACGTGGACAAGGTTCATTTTTCCCGTTCACCCGATGACTGCAGGGTGTGGGGCCCTGATTAATTGATATACTGCGCAACTTGGTCCTCAAAGCAAGAAAACAAGAGAAAAAGGACAGGAATGAGGTATATTTGTATATTAACTTGACATTAATATTAATATGACTAAAATAAATCGTTGGTCGAACAATTTGTATTTGACAAGGTTTCACAACATTGTACGCCATCAGATGTTTTGAAAAAAGTAAGGCGTATGCGCAAGCAGATAAACATGATAAAGAAATACTTCATGAATATGGTGCCCCCCTCCCCCAAGGTACACTACAATTTTCTTTCGTAAAAACAGTAAAGCACCATTTATCGCACTTTTCAAAATTATGGAAACCCACATTAACATACTAATACACAAAAACGAAAACACTAATTGGCCAATTAGAATGCATATATTATCGTATAATAAAAAACAGTATCTATCATGTTCTGCAAATACTTCAATCATGACTGCACAAATCGAACCCAGGAAATATAGTACATATGTACAGCTTTATGTTATGCTTGTTTATTATGTGAGACAGATAATAAATTTGAGAGTTGTAATTGTAAAAGGACGAATAACATCCTTCGCGCTCTCATCGAAGAATATGAGTTGCTCGGGTGAATATGATTCTCCAATTTTAGCGATAAAAGAACTACGAAGCAATTCATTCTTTTCCATAGCGGCTTTATGTAACTACAAGAAAGTTTTATAGTGAGATTTTTTCTATTTCTTACTTAGTTGTAACATACAAACCTTTTTCCGAGTGATTTCATATCGTTATGATCAAGAATCTTTCTATCCCCTTGAAGGAATTCAAACTGTAGCCCGACGACTAACATACAATTAACGGCAAATCCGTTTACGAGAAAAGCCATCAGAATGAAGATAAACTATCTTTCAATGTAAATCTTCACTAATATCCTTGACCATGTCGTGCCCAATAAAATTGCCAATATTGCTATACAACAGCTAAATGACAACAACTTTCATCAGCGTTCGCCTGTAAACGTCCAGTAACGCCCAACAATTGTCAGTAATCGTCATTAATCGCCAGTAATCGAAAACTCTTCTCTATAAAAGCTAACACTAGAACTGCTCGTACTTACCAAAAGAGTAACCGAAACTGTGCAGGAAGATGTAAAGCGTTGAGTGCCGCCGAATAATCGCAGAAGTTTATAGAGACTTGGTTGAGTTTTCGAAAAATTTCGCAGTCAAGTGACTGTGTGTGTACAAAATTTCAGAGGTTTCTATAATTTTGAAAAGTGCGATAATAAACTTTTACACGATGATATCATACGGGGCAATATCAGTTACTTTGATAGTGGTGGTAAATTAAGATTGGCGGTTAATAAATCACCAAATCAGCAGAAATTCCATTTTAATAAATCTGGCAAACTAACACTAGTGTCTTTGTATAATAAAGTAGAACAAGTGCTCGCCTTTATTCTTGCGATACCCAAACTATATTGGAATACGCGACCAATTCGATAAAAATAACTCACCATAAGATAATAATAATGATAGAGCCCAAATTTTTGTATTAAAAATACCTTTATAATATAAAATTTTTAATAAACTCGATAAACTGTTAGATAAATAAAATAATCTCCACAGTTCAAAGACCTCGATTACTTAAAGATTTGCCTCTTAAATGCCATTTAAAGAGTAAGTGACTCTTGAACCTTAATTCTTGATTCAAAACCCATAAATAGTATTGTTAGTCCTTCTATTTACGACTAAACGCAATAATATGTCTAAACCAATTATCTACAAAACAGAAGAATATGCAGAGAACATCGCTCTTTGATATATCCAATATAAATGACGTCATATTCTCGATAACCAGATTGATTATTGCTCGTTTTGTCGCGTGAAATTATTTTAAAGTCTTGCTAAACCACGTGAGTAATTCACATTATGGACGTTCTCCCACTGCTTTAAAGGCGTGGTAACCAGGTGGATTCGTTAGAACTAATGGACGAGTGTTGTATATTTTATTAATCCGTTGGAAACATCACAATAGCGTTCCCAAGAATATCATAAACGGAATAATGTCTCAACACAGTACTATACGCTTGAAACTTGAGAGAGATCGCTTTAAAAGCGCATGTCTCATTGTTCGTAGGAAATTAGATGGAGCGGTTCATGACACGTACTGCATAATTAGCTTATGCTGAAACATCAACACCACCAACCCACTCATTCAAGATCTAATTGATGTCAAATAATAAAGTTTACGCTCAAGTCAGAATACACATTATTGATGAGCGAGCAGAAACGTTAACATTAGCTTCGTCTTCAGCGTACGCCACGACCGTACGCGTTTCTATTATTATTTAGTGAGAATCAATAAACATTTTCGCCTTGCACTTCTCTAGATCTTTACCTGCCACATCCAAGTCCCACTCGTCTTTTAACCTACAACGTGTCATTCAATAGCTTCCCATTGTCTGGTGCAATATTACATCGGTAAGATGTCGACTCTTACATTCGACGAAAATCGCCTCTATTCCTCGAGTTTTGATTCAGATAATAAACTATCCATTATATCGTTTCCTGATGCATAGCATTTTATCTTCAACGTCTTCCCACTTCCATATATTCGACGAACCGCATGCGTTTCTAGAATTTCTTGTTTCTTCCAAGCAATCCTCACCACAAGCCATTTGATGCGTAGCCATCCCTTTTCGCTTGCTAATGCATGAGTGCAACAGCGTCATGTAAACAATTATAAACAAATAAATTGCTTTTGCCTTAGCCGTCATCAGTCTTAACACAAGCAATTTTATTGGGTAATATATTCTGTTAATAAGTCTGGCGTCTAGACATTTCCACTGACTCATCTAAACGTCGAATTATATCACGAACGTACAGTATCTATATCTTCTTCAGTTGTAAATTCTTTTTGTTCTAAAAATTTTTTAACAGTCTTAAGTGCTTGTCTTCCCAC